GAAAACAACTACTTTCCTGGCTATTTGCCTCGTCGAACATTGAATTATATCTGATGAACATTCAAAAGGAGAACATGAAAAATAAAGAATAAAATCCTCCGAAATTGAGAATTGACATTCTTCTTCAAATCGGATGAATAATATGATGTATAATGATATAGAAATATAACTTACCAATATATTCAGCATTGAATGAAAATTGGAATGTATAGGAGAAGTATACTGGCATAAACTCTGATCTTGATGAGCTTGAAAACTTCCAAAAATAATCATTCATATCAGTGATATGGGAAATATTATCTCTCACACACAGGTTATATGACTTTATTGCAATGAAACCATTTCGGATTTCTGAATCCTCATCAGTAACCATGATGTCCACTTATTCTTACAGCCATTCTTCATGATATGAATAATTATTTTTGGAAGTTTTCAAGCTCATCAAGGTCAGAGTTTATGCCAGTATACTTCTCCTATACATTCCAATTTTCATTTCAATGCTGAATATATTGGTAAGTTATATTTCTATATCATTATACATCATATTATTCATCCGATTTGAAGAAGAATGTCAATTCTCAATTTCGGAGGATTTTATTCTTTATTTTTCATGTTCTCCTTTTGAATGTTCATCAGATATAATTCAATGTTCGACGAGGCAAATAGCCAGGAAAGTAGTTGTTTTCTGTTGAATATTCAGAATGATGTTTGCATATACATATTTTTGTCTGAAGGAGAATGCAAATTCTCAATTTCAGAAGTTTTTATATTTTATTTTCAAACTCTTATCGTGTGTGTTCAATAGATATAATTCAATGTTCGTCGTGGCATATAGCCAGGAAAGTAGTTGTTTTCTATTGAATCAACTGAGAAAGAGTAAATATTCTCATCACATAGAGAATGCGAATTCTCAATGTATTGCTTTATATAAATATATATCCATCTTTGTATGTTCATAATTTATCTGAGAATATTTCTTTTTAACACTTTCATACCCAATCAGGGGGTTCAAACTTGAACGATGGAAACTTGTGATTTTTATAGACCTCTAATCGCAGATTCGTGATAGAGTCTCAATTCAGAATTTCTTTCCACGCCCTGTATGATGAATGTCAATTTATCATACACCCAAAAGCTAAAATATAAAAACTTCTGAAATTGAGAATTTGCATTCTCCTTCAGACAAAAATATGTATATGCACACATCATTCTGAATATTCAACAGAAAACAACTACTTTCCTGGCTATTTGCCACGTCGAATATTGAATTATATCTGATGAACATTCAAAAGGATAACATTAAAAATAAAGAATAAAATCCTCCGAAATTGAGAATTGACATTCTTCTGCAAATCGGATGAATAATATGATGAATAATGCTATAGAAATATGACTTACCAATATATTCAGCATTGAAATGAAAATTGGAATGTATAGGAGAATGCAAATTCTCAATTTCAGAAGTTTTTATATTTTATTTTCAAACTCTTATCGTGTGTGTTCAATAGATGTAATTCAATGTTCGTCGTGGCATATAGCCAGGAAAGTAGTTGTTTTCTATTGAATCAACTGAAAAAGAGTAAATATTCTCATCACATAGAGAATGCGAATTCTCAATGTATTGCTTTATATAAATATATATCCATCATTGTATGTTCATAATTTATCTGAGAATATTCCTTTTCAACACTTTCATACCCAATCAGGGGGTTCAAACTTGAACGATGGAAACTTGTGATTTTTATAGACCTCTAATCGCAGATTCGTGATAGAGTCTCAATTTAGAATTTCTTTCTACGCCCTGTATGATGAATGTCAATTTATCATACACCCAAAAGCAAAAACGTAGGTGAAGTTATTGACTTTATATTCTAGGGTTGTGAAGTATTCGTCAGGAGCTTCAAAAGGATATGTCACAAGACACATTCAATTTTTTTTCCCAGATGGTGCCCAGTCGCCATCTTGAAATTTTCATCTGTCAATTTTACTCCAAATATAGTATTCATGCATAAATTGCATTATTCCAAGTCTCAATTTTTTCAGTTGACCAGTTCAAAAAATAAAAATGAAGGGGACATTGAAGAAGAACACTGTATGCCAAATCATCCCACTGGTAGATGTTTTTCTTCGTTTGTTCACTCACGTACAGTCGTATTCAGAAAACATGTCGCAGTTGGACGGTGTAATTGCTGTTATTGCAGACGGTGATTTAGAGCGCTTACACCTTACAACCGCGACATGTATTCTGAAGACGAGTGTACCTACGTAACTTTATGTTCCAATCTATTTGAGCATTATTAAAGTTGAATTTTCCTCCTTCCCTGAGAAACCTTGCTGAATCCACCGCTGATTTAGTGAAACAAAAACTATTCCAAACGCTTTCAAACCTATTACACATTGATATATAAGTACCAATGTGTTTTTTTAATGAGTTGAATTTGATGATTTAGGAAGTTTGTTCATGGTCCTTGTATTCACATATAATACGTATTTACTATCTATGTTTTGACTTTCATTCAAAGTATTTTATGGAATTCTTTTGTTGAAAGATGTGTTGTTCTTATTTGTACAAAATATCTCGAACTTTATATAATTATTGTATTCATCAAACAAGGTTTTCTTTGGGATCAGTGTATATGCTATCCACCAAATGATGTAAAATAAGTAGATATAACTTTTCACAGTTCCATTTTGAATTGTTTCTTTTCCAACTTTGATTATGTAATCAATTATGAATTTACTGCCACAATACATCTTTTTTATATACTTGTGTCTTTAATAACTAGGTCCTCTTTCTCCTACTGAATACATTATTACCCCTTCAGTAAGAAACATAACAGCAACAAAGTCACCAAATGATTGTTTGGAGATAATAAAAGTTGAAGTTCAGTTGATTTTGAAATTTCTTATCAACTATTCAATGATTTGTAATATACTCTTGTGAATTATAATAGATTCAGAATTCTAAAGGTAACAAAATAATTTAAAAATTTCGAATTTTTCATATTATTTAACCCAAGTACTCACTTAGGCTCATTTGTTCCTGTTCAATTTGATACGCCATGGTACAAATGTGACTTAAGAAAGGGCATCAAAGTTGAAAAGTGTATTATTGTACATCCAGAACATTGAATAATAATAAATAGAATACAAACTTCATTCATAATCAGAGATTAGTTACACATAGCTGAGTGCTATTTTGGTCCTTTCTTTTTGTTTGATGATTTCTTTTCATATGTGAAGTTTTTAAAGAAATTCCGAAAGTGTGTTATCACAAGGTCACACACACCCCAACTTAGCTAATTTATGAACGACTAAAATTCATTTATTTTCACTATATTAGTAATTCTGGCGCACTATTACCCGACCCTATAGAACTGGATAGAAATTTCCTCAAAATGGTACAACACTGCATCCCAATATATGAAAGATTTAGTGTTGAATGAACTAGCAGTTTATTTCATCCACATCCAAACGTGTTGGATATTTGTATTTGTAGGTAGGCTGTTTTGTTCGACGAACAAGTCTATTCGTACAAAAATGATACAAAACCGAAGTGTGTGGCTGCAAAATGGTCGTTTTCGCTAGCCGCACACCACACACTTCGTTTTTCCGTCATTTTTGTTTGATAATACTTGTTCGACGAACAAAACAGCCCACCAACAACGAAGTCTATGGGCTCCGTAACGGGAATCAGCAAGGCAGCAAGCGAACAAATCAAGGCGGCTGATTTCGTATGGTGTGCCAGTGAAATAGAGATGGAAGTGGGAGGAAGACGCCACGATGTCCTCGCGTATTAAATAATGAAATGCTCGCATTCCATGTATGATTTGATCAGCATCGCTGAACGCAAGCAGGATGAGCGATTTATTCAAATTAGCCGAAGGTTTTTTTATGTACTGGTTCCCACGAAAAGGGATATCCTGTAATGTTCAGAGAACATCGTGAGAACCAAGGAAAATGAGGTAGGAATTGGTGTTCTTCTAAAATTCTTGGAGGTTATATGCCTCGGGGAACACCTCCCTTGGCAATGTGTTTCAGAGCCTCGCTGTTCGTTGGATGAACGAGGCTTTGGAAGGAGATGTTCTGCAGGTCTCCAAAGTGACCACGAAGGGGTGCGAAGTCTCAACTCGACGGGTTAATCTCGCGGGGACTGCCAAGGGAAGAACAATTGTTGATATTTCAGAAGAGCATCGTCCATGAAAATATCTATAAAATTGAGCCAGATCGCCATTTTTTACGGTGTTCCAGAGAAGTGAGTGAGTTTGTGAGCAAGGGATCACCCACGAGACGAATTGCCTTTTTTTGGACATCTAACAGTTTCTGGGTATGTTGGAGTGCTGCACTCCAAATATGGAAATAGTATTCCAGGACAGGTCAGATCTGTGCCTTATAGATCATAAGCAGCTGACTGGAAGTGAAATAGCTCCTGATCCGAAACAGAAAACCAAGTTTTTGGGATGCACTTTTAGCTCTCACGTGATCTCACGTGATTTTCCCAAGAAAGGTTATTGCTGATAGTAATACCAAGCATCGAAATGGACGCCTTCAAAGGTATGGTTACTCCTGACAAGCTTAAGTTGGGCACAGCGAGATCGGCTTTTCTAGAGAAGAGGCATGCTTGTGTTTTGTTTGCATTGAAATCTACCAATTTATTGGATCCCCATTCGAGAATTGTTGCCAAGTCAATATTTATGTTGTCAACATTTCTCCCTCGTTCGTTTCTGATTTGCCTGGCTGGTATTGGAGCCCTGGAAGAGATGGCGGTATGGAGGGTACTATCATTCGCGAAGCTGTATACTGGATATGAAGTTGCTCCCAACAAATCATTGATATGGAGTAGAAATAGTGTTGGTACTAGAATCGATCCTTGCGGAACACCAGCATTTATGATAAGATGACTCTGGTTATCAATGAAGTGACACGAAATGAATAAATGTACTCGAAAATAATTGCGAAAAATCATTTAATCTTCATGAGTTGAATGAGGTTGTCCTCTTTTTTGGCAGTTGTATGACAAATTTTGTAGATGACACGTGCGTAAAGGTGTGTTTTTTATTCATAGGAATTGTCAACATTTCCTACTCGTAAAAAAGTACCAGTTTACGCAGTTGTTACATAAATAACTAAACTAGGCCGCTAATGCCATTAGATTAGAGTTCATGCGCTTACGATATCGAAATTGATCCAATGGAGTGTGTGCATTCAGGACCTGTCATATACTTCAATCACTCACTCTTATTTAGGATTCCGAACACCAAGAGACATTTTCCAGCAAGCAAGCACTAGATGCCAAGTATTTGCCTCAACGGTCTAGTCAAATACCCAATGGAGTTATCTCGAAAATGAAATAAAAAACACATCCAAATATGTGTTATTTTAGGGAAAATATTGAATTTTGAATTTAGTGCAAAAGTGTGTTTGTTGTTGTTCAATTGATCAGCAGTTTATGTCACTTTTCATTCTAGGCTGAGACGATAAGCCATTTACACCAAATGGGTGATTGTCAACCGATGGTGAAATATAAGGAAACTAAAAAAAAATAGTCACATCACTTCTCAGTCACGTTGATGTGCTAATGACAGTGATAGTGTAAAAGCGTGTTCCGATGTATATAGATTACTTTTCATATCTTGAAGAAGGTAATTCGCACGAAAAAATAATATAGATGTGTGTTATCTTCTACAATACATGTTAATTACTGGTGAAATATCACGATCTTTTTTTTTAGGATATTTCGGAAATGTCTCAGTAACTTCATGAACATGGCACATCGAACACTCACTATTTTTTTAATCATTCTGCTCGTCTCTCCACCAGCTCTATGTTTTTTTGGAGATTCTATTGCAGATTCTATTCAGAGCATCCGAGCAACGGTGTTGGTTTTCTTGACAAATCTTGCAAATAAATTGTGCAGACTTTACGAAAAATATATTCTGAGGATTGATGAAGTTGTTTTCGATACTGACACACTAGCAGGTAAGAACACAATTTTTCCACTTCTAATAGAGGAAAAATATCGAGTAGTCGCAAATTTTCGTGCAGTGATAGAGGGATGGTGGGATGAACGGGGCAGTAGAGGAGCGTTTGAACGTCATTTCTTCAAGGTGGTCTTGAATAGTTCGAAAAAATGAAAGTAAGTATATAAAATTGAATAGGTACCTACCTTAAAAATCGAGAAGTATCAAAATAGGTATTTATGTACTAAGGACGAAACACTGTCTATTATAATCAATATTAATGAGTAATACTCGGGCTATAGTATACAATATTTATTAGTCAACTCAAACGTTTTCGGCTCTAGGCCATCATCAGGAGAGTATTTGTCAAATAGTCTTACAGCAGATCTGCATTAAAAACAATGGAATTATACCATTCAGCATTGGTTATTTCATGGGATGTTTTTGGATTTATCCAAAATATTTCAAATAGCAATATCAATTAAGATGCTGTTCCCTCTATTTTCGGGAAGAAAACTGAAATATTGATAACAGGGTGATGTCTAATATCTTGAAAATTAGTTATGTTCTGTAATAAACATGAATTTTCGTATATCAAATAGTAGAAACTCGCTATCCATGTTGAGAATTGAAGTTCACTGAATAAATGAAGAAATCGTTACTTCCATTTCATAAAACTCAATTGATATTTTGACTTGTATGATGCAACACTTGATATTTCAAGTTCGATTCATCAATTCCTTTTTTATCTTACTTGAACAGACATTATTCAGATCTTACTTTCTAGCTCTGGATATACTTATGTTTTTGTGATATGAATGCCTCTTATTTAATAATTCTGAATCAGCAAGGGTATAGGATGAAAGAAAAATCAATAAATCAATCTTGAAATACTGAGTTTTGCATATCATTTGGTCAGATCAATTGAGATTCATGAAATTCAAGTAACTGATACCTCTGTGCAATACCGCCCTGTATACTCGATTTCTTCATTTATTCAATGAACTGCAATTCTCAATATTCTGTTTTTTTATTTGAGATTCGGAAATTCATGATTATTACAAAACATAATTTATTGTCAAGGGACTAGGCATCACCCTGTTATCAATATTTCAGTTGATTGAATTATTCTTCAAACAAACTTATCATTGAGGTTGAAATTCTATCAACAAGTCGTTTTTTGAAGCTCATATAGGGCACAAATTCACTTAGGAAAATATGTCTGTTCTACCATCTACCACCTTTAAAGGCACACAATCCAACATTTGAATCGCTGTTACTCGAAAACTAGTCATAGGATTAAGTTGAGCCCATGAGAGTTATTGATCAGGATATCACAAACTACAACATTCTATAATTCCAGCCGATTTGACCAGGGCCCAAAATCCCATAAGAGCGGTGCGAGGTCCTTATGGATATCATTTTACGGTAATGGGGTGTTGGGATTATCGAGCATTTCGGATTATAGGGGGTCGGACTATCCATACAGGATATGTCACGACGAGCTTACACTATCTCTATAGGTATCGAGAATCAGTCGGGAGAAACACATGAGAATATGCATGCTTATATTTTACAATACGTTCTCAGTGTTGCCGCTTCTATCAAAAAGTAGTAACAACTTTGTTATTTCAAGTGGACCACCCTGTATTTCATTACATTTTTGGATTCTCCCTGAAGAGCTGATTTGAACGATATATCACACTTAGGGTCTATCGGAAATGATTACAGAGATATAGGGTGTTCATAATCGAGATTTTTCAACTTTAGGATTTGCTTGTGTCGAAACTATTCATTATCGGCCAAAACAGTTCACATGTCCCTATCTCAACTTTTGATATACTATTTACTCATATTCAATCGAAACAGATACAGGGTGATCAGAGTTCTGAATCTCAAACCACCCTGTATCTGTTTCGATTAAATATGAATAAATAGTGAATCAGAAGTTGAGATAGGGACATGTGAGCCGTTTCGACCAATAATGAATAGTTTCGACAGAAAAAAACCTGAAGTTGAAAAATCTCGATTTTGAATACCCTATATCTCTGTAATCTCTCTCGATAGACCCAATGTGTGATACATCGATAAAATCAGCTCTTCAGGGAGAATCTAAAAATGCGATAAAATACAGGGTGTTCCATTTGAAATATCAATGTTGCTACTACTTTCTAGTAGAAGCGGCAACACTGCATTGTCGAAAATATTTTAAATGAAAAGAGCGTATTCTGAGATATAAGCATGCACATTTTCATGGATTTCTCGCGATAGATTCTCGATATAAAGATAGTGTAAGCTCGTCGTGACATACCCTGTATACAAGCTGATTCACGATGGATGGCACATTAGACGTTTCTGAAGAACGCAACTCAGGATTATTCTGAAAAGTTGGTGCCTTGGATAATTAGTTGTTTTCTATCGACCTAAAATATTCTCCGTGTTGCGACGTTGCCGCTTATATTGAAAAGTAGCAACAGCTTTGATTTTTTAAATGGGACACCCTGTATATTATTCCATTTTCAGATTCTCCCAGAAGAGCTGATTACATCGATCTATCACACTTGGGGTCTAGCGGAATTGATGACAAAGATATAGGGTGTGAAAAATCGAAATTTTACATCTTTAAGAATATTTTGAGTCCAAACTATTCATCATTGGTCAAAACGGTTTCCATGTCCCTGCCTTAATTTTTTATGTACTATCAACTGATATTCAATGGGCTTATATCACAAAAAAAAATTATTTCATAATCCGATAGAACTCACCCAAACTAGCTCACCACCGCAAACCGTTACTTGCTGTGAGCTCCCTACGTTTTATAAAAAATTATTGAAATCCCCGATTTTTCGGACCTCTGAAAACGAGGCGATGATGTGACATCAAAACCCTAATACTGAAACAAGACTATTCCAGACAGAGACGAATGATACATGATTTCTGACAGATTGAATAAGTGCGAGATCACAGTTGAAAGAATTGATATATCAGTTGCCTCGGTCTCCGTCGGGCGTTTGGTATTTTCTTCAAATTATGGCGAGATGAGGTTTCTACGTCATAAGAGGGTCCGTTTTCAGAAGGTACTATTATTTGTGTCCAAAAATAAAACATTCCAGTTAATTTTTCGATCGAATTATGTCGTCAATCATTATTTATGTATAAAAGGATCATTATAAACATGGTTTGAATTGAAAGTTCTTCTGAGGTGTACACGCCCATTGAAATAGATACAGGGTGGTCAAAAATTTTAATTATCACCCTATATTTTCATATTTCAATTAAATATCAATTGATAGTGAATAAAATGTTGGGATAAGGACATAAAAACCGTTTTGACCAATTATGAATAGTTTCGACACAAAAAATTACTGAAGTTGAAAAATCTCGATTTTTCACATCCTATAACTCTGTATTCATTAAGTTCAAGTTCAAGTTCAAGTTTTATTTCGTCATTTTTGATACAAATTGTATATGTGACACGTCGAAAACAAAAACAAAAAACAAATATACAAACAAAGTACTCATGAATAGTACAGCAAATACATCATATTAAGAGAGGTTCTCATACTCTTTGAGGGAGTAAAAGCAACTTGTTAGAAGATATTCTTTGAGGAGCTTTTTAAATTTCACATGGTTTTTTTCTTCTTTGATGGTTTGGGGAAGTAAATTGAAATATTTTGTTCCTGAGTAATTTGGGGATTTTTTATACCCACAATAGTTACATTTCGTCAAATGGAAATCATTTCTGTTCCTTGTAAAATGATGATGGATTTCTTTATTCTGCATGAATGATACGGAATTTGAATGAACATAACTTAGCGTTTTATAAAGGTAAATGCATGGTAGTGTAAGAATACGGTTATTTTTAAATGTTTCTTTGCAAGATTCTCTATATTTGACATCAAAAATCAGTCGCAAAAAACGTTTTTGCATAATGAAGATCCGATTTACATCTGATGCTAGTCCCCAAATGGAAATATTTATACTTATTTTGGAATATACCAATGCATAGTAAATGTCCAGTAGATTATGATTCGTGAAATTCGACTTCAATGTTAGGAAAGCGTAATAAGTTTTTTTCAGTGTTGTGCATAGGTATTCAATATGTTTGTTGAAAGATAATTTACAATCCAGTTGTGTTCCAAGGAATTTTGTACAGTCTGATAATTCTAATCGCGGATCAATAGGAAGTGGACGGTAGTATTTGTTTGAAAATTGAATGAACGTTGTTTTATCCAAGTTGTTTATCAAATGGTTACATCTACACCATACTTCGAATTCATCAATGACAGTTTTTATTTTATTATTCATTTCGTTTGGACTTGGGGAAGCTACAATGATGGTAGTATCATCGGCGTACATAAAAACTCGGCCTTCTGTTATATTTTCTGGAAGATCGTTTACGTATAATAAAAACAGCAGTGGTCCAAGTACTCCCCCTTGCGGTGTTCCCAAGTCCACATCAAATGGATCTGATATGTGGTCATTTACTTTGACTACCACTTTTCTATTACTCACATATGACTTGAACCATTGGTTTAATGTTCCCCTGATGCCCATTTTAAAAAGTTTCTCACCCAAATAATGTGGGTTTATAGTTTCGAATGCTCGGCTAAGATCGAAGAAGATCCCCATTGCATAATAATTTTTGTTGGTATTTTCATAGATATATTGGATCATATCGGTTGAAGCAGTTTCAATGGAAAAATTGCTCCTGAAACCGTGTTGGGAAGATGCTATCAATTTATGGTTGTCCAAAAAGCTTACCGTTCTGTCATACACTGCTTTTTCCATTATTTTTGATATGGAGTTCAAGACACATATGCCTCGATAGTTTTCCATTTCTGAGGTGTCACCTCTTTTATGTACCGGTACGACTTTGGAAAATTTCAGTTGATCAGGGAATATACCTTCATTAACTGATTGATTGATTAGAATGGTCAGGTTTTTTGACAATACCTGAGCACTCTCACTGAATACTCTCATTGGAATTTCGTCAATACCAGCTGTGAATTTTTTTTTGAAGCTTGTTATTATAGTTATCATTTCGGTATCGTTGTAGGGTCTGAAATACATTGAATTACAGGGTGTATTCTTTATAGTAGTGAATTGGTTTTGGGGTAAATTCAAGGAGTTAATTTTTTGTACAATTGATTTTGAGAAATATGTTCCCATTTTGTTTGGCAAGCAATGGTCAGATTCAATAACACTGTCTGTTTTTATTTCAATTTTCTTTTTGGTTCCATTATTTCTGCCCAGTTTATCATTCACTAATGTCCAGAGTGTTTTTTGTTTGTTTGTTGACGTGAGTATTTTGTTAGTATGAAATTGTTGTTTTTCTGTAGCCATTTTCTCATTAAGTGTTCTTTTTTTATATTTATATTGATTGTTGAGATAATCATTTTCTGGCTCTTGTTTTCGTATCCAATTCAACTTTTTTAAATCATCTGATTCCTTTTGGAGTTCATGTGAGTATTTGAATTTTTTGGGATATGAGTTTGTTTTAATTTTACGTTTTGGGAAACAAGATTCAAAACAATAGTTAAGATGGTTCAAATATTCAGAAAATGTTTGTTCAATGTTGGTTGATTGATCGGTTAGATCCATGGATTCCATTTTTGTTTGAAATTCATGCATGTTGAATGAGGAGAAAACTCGACCTTCTCTTTCAATAGCGTTGTTAATTTGTTTATTGTTGTCTTGATGCCATTTGAATATTTGGCTGGTGTGATCTGAGATTCCAAAATCTATAACTTTGTTGGAATAGTCTCTCAGGTTCGTAATTATATAATCAATGCCAGAGGTGGTTACAATGTTACCATATTTGGCACATCTGGTTGGTTCATTTGTAATTACATTGAGTTCATATGAGTCTAGAAGATCTATAAGTTTTTTATGTTGGGGGCATGTTTTATGCAGAAAATTTATATTGAGATCTCCCGATATGATAATGGAGGTATATTTCTGAGTCACATTATTCAATAGTACTTCAAAAATTTTGTAAAAATTATTTATGTCACCAGTTGGTGGACGATATATTGTAATGATACATACGGTTTTATCTTTTTCGATAGCCGAGCATTCGAAACATCCCTCTACTGACATATTCACAATATAGTTCAAGTTTTTACAATCTTTCATCTCATTCGTCCTAACGAATATCGCCGTTCCCCCGTGTTTATTATTTGTTCGGCAAAATTTAGTTATGTTCATGAAACCCAAGATGCATACATGTTCCAGTTGGGATTCATTCATCCAATGCTCACAAATACAAAGAAACTGAACCTTGTTTTGATCGCATATCATTTCCAACAAGTTGATTTTACTCCCTAGGCTTTGAATATTGCTATATAATAAGACATTGTTGAGCGGTAAGAATAGTTTTCTTCTGTCCTCGTTGGTAATAAGAGGTTTTTCAACTTCTAAAACGTCATTTTCTAGTGATTTTTTCCTATCCCATTGTTCTTGTTGTCCATGTCACCAGACCGGAAAATATATCTATTTACTAGTGCTCCAGAGAGCCATATCTCTGGATTGTAGACATCCTTTACGAATTGTATAGGAAATCTCACTAACATGGAGCATTTCCCATTCTGTTTATTCAATATTTCGCATTGGAAGGGGATGTGGGGGGCTGTTATTTTCAGTCCTTGTTCAAGTTCCCATTATTGCTAGACCCCAGGTGTTGTAGGTTAATAGAATCAGCTCTTCAGGAAGACTCTGAAAATGGAATAATATACAGGGTGTCCATTTAAAAAATCAAAGTTGTTGCTACTTTTCAATATAAGCGGCAACGTCGCAACAGAGAATATTTTAGGTCGATAGAACACAACTAATTATCCAAGGCACCAACTTTTCAGAGAGTTGCGTTCTCCAGAAACGTCTAATGTGCCATCCACCGTGAATCAGTCTGTATACCAACTAGTATATCATTAATTGTCAGTTATTAAATTTTCTGGTAAAGGTGGATATCACATATTATTTTCACAGATGCAGAGTATGATTTCATCGTCGTTGGAGCTGGTTCCGCGGGTTGTGTCATGGGCAACAGACTCTCGGAAATATCAGATTGGAAAATCCTCGTACTTGAAGCTGGCCAACCAGAGACTGCTTTTGTTGATATCCCGCTGTTAGCCATGGGTTTTCAAGTAGGTTTTTTTATTCTCTATCTATAATGGTTTTATTTATCTATTTATTTATTTATTGTGGGATACAAACAGGACTTGACCAAAAAAATGCATCCTCTGAGTGGTTATATAGTTACAATAAGGTATAAATCATATCAAGATGATATGAGAATAAGAAGAACAATTAAAAAACAATTATTGGGGGATACAACTTCACAGTTATTCAGTGGTGCCCTATAGGGTATACGCGTGTGAAAATTTGACACTGGAATATATTTTTGTTCCATTACTCATATGTATAGATGTCGAATTATACATCCGAAAAACATTATCAAGCACCGAACATTCAATAATTTCTGATTGAAAATCATAATATTTGCAACTTTCCGACCAACAGCCGAACTGCAGCGATGATTTCCGACTGGATGTGGCTGTTTTTATTTGTCATGTCAAACATTCATGTCCGAAAGATTGAAAATAATTAAGAAGAGAAAGTGAGGTTATGATTATCTTAGCTTGTAGTTTCTATAATCTATCTCAATTATATGATCTCAATATTCTGAATAATAATAACTGAATAATAAGCAAATATGTACAATAAGAATGATCAAATAGGACTTCTTTTTGCATGTTGTTTCAAATATATATTACCACCTATCAATTTATATCTCATATAGTTTTCCATATCTTCTTCAAGCTGAAATAAACGAAATCACATATTATATTATTATCCTAATAACATGAGGAACATAATCATTGATATATAATGGGTTTCACTAGGACATACTTGAACGTATACTCACTTCGAAATGGTCTTCACAAACAAATCCTCTGGTTTTATCGGATGAATCATTTCTATTTATGGCTTGCAACCATAATTTTCTTTTCTCTTTATTTTCATCACTCGATCCCACTGGCAATGAAAGGAATATTTTTCCTGGTGATACTTTTGTTGATGAAAGGCATTGCGGCACTAAAGAGTATTTGGTATAAACATTATCATTTTCCATTTTCAAATTTCAAATTTCTGGCGTTTAAAACTGTTTTCTCCTCCTACCTCTTCGTCTTCTTCTTTTTTTTTCAATCTGAATCTTGTCATTCTGTCGCGCTAGTCTATGGCTGTGCGGCCTAATACTATGACGTCATAATATTTTAATATTAGTGATGGCCACTAACCCGTTTTCCTGTGACTTCAAATTTAGCCTCATTTAAATGAAATTTTTTAGAGTCACAAGCAAATTTGAGATTAATGAATATTATAAGGAAGAAGGAATATAATTAAACAAAAAATCATGCGTATTCCTTATTCAAACACTTTTTTGAATGCCATAATGACGTTAATTACCGCACTACACCTCTTTCAGTTGTATAGGTATGTTCATGCTTGTACGAATTCCGCAAAATTTATGCGAATCGCAAAATATGAAATTTCCGACAGAATTTGACGTTCATACTCATGCGACAAAATATGCAGGAGATAAGGGTTCTGTTGTAATATTTATTTCTTTATTTCTGGTCCCACCATCGATAAAAGTTCATCAAATTGAAGGCACGTTACACGAAAGTAAAAATATTTATTTGGGTCATTCAGTCGAATTTATCGAAAGAGTCTGTACTAATCTCCATTCATTTTTCGGTATTTTAAAATGCTTCGAACAGTACAGCTCCTTTTTATGCTTCTGGATACATCATCAGTTCTATAGAGACGATACAGATGATACTTTAAAATTAATTCGTCCAGAGAATCCATCCTGCGAAGAAAATTCAATCAAATGAAGGAATGATGAAATTTTTAATTATAATTCTGTACTTACCTGTAGTCTAGTGTCTATAGTCTCGTCTTTTTTCGACCTCTGCAGTCCGCTCTCTAATTCCCCAATTTTGATGTTAACAAAATAACAATACATTTTTTGTGGTCCTGATTCCATCCGAATTCGCAAAAAAGTTCAAATATTTCAACTTCATTGCGATATTCGCAGTCGCCATTTTATTCGCATGAATTTTGCGGAATTCGTACAAGCATGAACATACCTTAATTCAGAAAGTGTAACTTGTAATTCAGATTAGCAAAATGTAATTCAGATTTTATTTGGGCTCGCATTGCACTTTGTTCTCAGGGGGGCATTTATGACTGGGCCTACTTGATGGAGGAACAGCCGAACGTGGCTTTCGGACTGAAAGATAGGCGAATGGACCTTCCAAGAGGAAAGGGATTGGGCGGGTCCAGTCTCCTTAATTTTATGATATATGCCAGGGGTAGTGCAGGCGATTTCGATAAATGGGCAGAAATGGGAAACGAAGGTAATTCTAGAAAACTGATCGATTTGCAGGGGTATATATGAAACATTTTATGTATTCACCTGTCAATTCACTCCCACGGAAGAAAAAAAAAAAGAATAACCTCCCTTGGGAGGTAAAATAAATTGTCTGGCTTGGTAGATATATAGTTATAAGATATGTGCCACCCAAGTACAGAGAGAGAGAGAGAGAGAGAGAGAGAGAGAGAGAATATGCTTTATTGTCTAAAGATGTAAAATCTCATTGACAAAGTAAGTAAAAAAAATAACCTTGAAGTAAATATCAAGACTATAACAACACAACATTTCAAAATCTATTTGAACACTTAGCTAGTTCATAAGGGACACATTACAACATATTAAAATATTTCTAATAAAAATGGTTTTATGGTTAAAATGTATCATCAAAAAACTCTTGTAAACTATAATAGGGTTTATCCGAAAAGAGTGCTTTTATTCTATGTTTGAATTTTTTATTGGATCCAACTTCCTTGGTGTCTTTTGGCAAATGATTGAACATCTTACAGCCTACATAAATTATTGAATCTTTAACTAGAGCCGATGATGGAATTGGTAATTTAATGATACCTGCTTGTCGGGTGGCATGGTGTGCAGAGGTAGTGTCAAATTTTCCTAGATGTTTTTTTAATTAAGCACACCGTTTCCATGATAAAGATCGCATAAACTGTTAAAATTTTGTGTTTAATAAAAAGGGGTTTGCAGGGGTCACGAATTTTTGCTTTGCACATATATCTTACTGCGCGTTTTTGCAATATTAAAACTGAGTTTATGAGATGATCATTACACACCGCCCAGAATGGAATTCCATACCTTAAATGAGATTCAACTAAGGAGTGGTAAACAACCTCAGAAGAAGAAAATCCTAATTCATTTGATGTTAGTCTCACCGCATAACATCCAGAAGACAATTTTTTGTTCAAAATTTTAACATGTTCGTCAAATTTCAATCTGAAATCTATTTGAATGCCTAGAAATTTGGTATTATTGGTGTTTTCTATGACGTCATCACCCATGACTAGCTCGTTTAATTCACCTTTAAATGACATCATATTAGTTTTTGTCAGATTCATCACCAACTGATTTGAATCACACCATTTTTTAACCTCAGATATGTCATCCTTGATAATATCAAGAAGTGTTTCGGCATTTTCATTATGCCAGAAAATGCTCGTATCATCCGCGAACAGCGTTATTTTTCCTGAAATGTTAGCTCTGGCTAAGTCATTAATGTATAGTAAAAAAAGCGTGTAGAAGGTACGATAAATTGATTAGCAAATTATTTCATCTCCAAATATTGAATGATAAGGCTGAAGGACCTCAATGGAGGACGAAATACATATACTACTCCTAATTTTGTGGCCTGAACCTATATTCCACGCCGGCCGCATCATACTATTCTGTTTCCATTTTTGTAGAATTACGTTATCCTTTGGAAATTCGAATAGAGTGAATAGACTGTTGGCCCGTGACACAGGGTTTATCGATGTTCTAAGTCGGTATGCCATTTGAGGGACCCACTCACTCAGTCCGAGTTAACAATAAGAAGTGCCTCGGAGAGTCGCAACCCAGTCCTTGCCCCGGTCCTGACCTCACCTTTCGGTTGGAAAAAATTTCAAAATTTTGTTTAAGAAGAAGCTCGGCAATGAAGTGCAATGATCTTATCTCACGAGAATTGGGGCGCTTGCCGGTTTGCATACGCCTAGGTCACTCCCCAAGGGCGGCATACGAACCGGAAGTGGAAATTTTTCAGTGTTATAGTCGATGATCGAAGAATGTATGCCCTTTGGCGAAACAATAAATTCGGACCCATTAAACATTTTCCCGACATTTGCATACGATTCCGGAGAGGGGAGCTCGACTTATTCGAACATCATTTGACTGGATATTCTTCAAATGATCGATAATCGAAGAAATGTTCAAATTTTGACCATGGTTAGTGGACCACACAGTATATATGAGATAATGGTTTGCATACAATTTGCACATACCGTACAGGGTGTTTCACCATAAATATCTCCCATTGTCACTTAGTTGTTTCCGAACCGATTTTAAAATTTCAAAAACCAATTAAAATTATTTTCCTAAGAGATTTTTCATTGTTATCAAAAAATGCACAGGTTGTTCATAACAAATAAACTATTGGGAAGTTGTTGATTTCTTTTTACTGAAACACTATTCTTTACCTCACTATCGAGTTGGGATTATTATGACGAATACAGCTCTACAGCATCTAGCGATATCATTTACACGCAGCACTCTTATAGCAATCATGCGCCAAATTGTCAAATTGTGCCAGAAATATGAATCCCGGGTTTGAAGTATTTTCTTTTTTTTGCTGAAACAATTTTCATATCTGAACAATGATTTGCTGCAGCAGCCGGGTAGAGTGTAGCACGTAATGATTCAGTAGGCATTCAATAATGTTTTTTACTTTTGTCGGAGATCCGATATTTAAATATCCCGAAAACCATTTACTTTTGTATAATGTATATTATAGATTTAATCACTACTTACTGCCTTATTCCCTACCAGTGGTATGAATCGGATTACCGCAGTAACCCTGTATATAAGTGCAGCGTGTGAATCTTATCGCTAAACTCAACTATACTGGGTTTGATGAAGTTATGTCATTGTCAGTTACATGAAAAATAATGAAGGGGGCTGGGCCCTTGATACTTTTTTTGGGTACGATTGCCATTGGTACCTTGGTGAAGCTCTTTCAGCAGAGGTTGGTGATATCATAATCTCTGAGACTTCAACTGAGAAAGTATCAGGTATATCTTTCGATCATGCCAAGATTTTTCAATAATCAAATAATATACTTACTAACAGGTACTGATGGCAACTCTGGAGAATCATCTTCAGTAAGCGAGAGCGAAGATGACTCTGAAGATAATGATAGAGAGGACGGCGTATAATTTCTCCTTTGAAATATAATGTTGTTCTCATTTAATATAATTTCATTTTCAAATAATTTTTTTTTATGTGAAAAACAAAAATGTAGATTAAAGTTCAGGACCCCATACTATACCCGAAACATTCAACGAACTAAATAAACATTCTTTATATATTTTTCAGACGCCAGTATTATGATAAGCAGACCCATAAGCCCCAGGAAGAATTTCAATTCGATTTATTGTGAGTTTCGATCATGAGCAATAATCCACCCCTCTTCTCCCTGTACGATCCCTTTTGATCATCTTGCGAGTATCTTGTTGTAAATTTTTTTCATCATCTTTTCAAAGCCCTGTTTTTCAAATTGAAATCACACAAAAAAATTTCTTGGTACTAAACCTCTCACACATATAATTTTGTTGAGCTGTAAATTTCTGATGGATAAATACAAATATATCTGCAATTTGCGTCTTCGAATATCCTCAGCACTACCAGGAAGATACTTTTTGACCTGGTTTCATGTGAAGTGAGATTATGAGACTTCTCGATTATCTAGTTCGCTTTCGGTGCACCTCTGGCCTGCAGTGCGGGGCGCCGCGCCGGACCGAGGCACGCGCGGGTTTGCCCGATTATTACAACGTATGCTCACATTGAATTCGTATGCAAATAGCATCCAGTTATAAAGAATATCCTAGTTTATCGGTCTAGAGATTTGCATACGAACTTAAATCATCGATTATTTGAAAGATGTCTAGTCAATTGATGTTCGAATAAGTCGAGCTCCCCTCTCCGGAATCGTATGCAAATGTCAGGAAACTGATTAACGAATCAGAATTCATTGTTTCGCCAAAGGGCATACATTCTTCGATCATCGACTATAACATTGAAAAATTGCCACTTCCGGTTCGTATGCCTCCCTTGGGGAGTGACCTAGGCGTATGCAAACCTGCAAGCGCCCCAATTGTCGTGAGATAAGATCATTGCACTTCATTGCCGAGCTTCTTCTTAAACAAAATTTTGAACTTTTTTCCAACCAGAAGGTGAGGTCAGGGCCGGGGCAAGGACTGGGTTGCGACTCTCCGAGGCACTCCTTCCTGTTAACTTGGACTAAGTGAGTGGGTCCCTTAAATGGCATACCGACTTAGAACATCGATAAACCCTGTGTCGTGGGCCAACAGTCTAGAATTGATTTCCCGTGTTTTCACAGTTGGAAACTGCTCAAACTTGCATCTTCCTCCTAATTCTCTCAATTTGTCAAACCTTTGAAATTTATGTCATGTAGGTACGTCCGTGTACTGTCAGTTCCCCCTTTTTCCATCAATTTATTTGTGGTTATGTCTGATTGTCAGTGCTTGTCATAGTGGCCGTACTCTGATCATATACGTATTAATAAACAATACGGATCATAACGGGTGCCAGGATGAAGCCAAAAATATGAAACAAATGAATATCCATAAGGATTTGGTGGCATGATACGTAGTCATCAAAGACATGCGTTTCGGTGGACAATGACGTTTACTAGCCTTTCAATCAAAGCAGTATGTGTCTGATCGTATCTCACTTTTCCTTATGGATAGTCATTTGTCTTAAAAAATCGGCTTCATGTTTCGCTATGGAAACAGATAGAGATTATCCGTATTGAAAACAGCAGTTTCAAATACATTTAGGAACTCTAGAGGTATTTTTTCGCGAGTTCCCGTTGATCAGCCACCGGTAATAGAGCGGTTATACCTACCCCCACCAAAAAATAAACCGAAGGCCGTTCATCCTTTGATTTCTCACGAAAATGAACCGGTTAACCGTTCAGATTTCTGTCAGCTGGGGTTTTTGTTTTCGATCATAATAAATGGACAGTTGCATTTTGGTTGCATGATCGTTGGCTCCTGCCGCTCCGGTCACCGGTGGCTCAACAAAAATTATCTCAAAATGTTCCCAACAGTACTGTCAATGATTGATGATTTTTTGGTGGTGTTCTTCCATTTCTTGATTTGAAAAGTGAGTAGTAGGTATCTCAAAAATAGTTTGAATAATTATAAATATGTTTACTTCTAATAATAACATAATACTTTGAAAATAATGATACAATGTCACTTGTCAATTACTATAACCTCCAGTAACCATGATGCTCACAGATGTGAGATCTAAAACAGTTTCCGTTTTAAAAATTGTGACGTCACTGATGACGTCATTATCATACTCCCCTATTACCGTTATGACGCGAAATGCAACGGGGACTGAAAATCAACGGGATCTCGCGAAAAAATACCTTTGCAGGCAGTAGCTAATTGACAGTTGGAGACAAAAATACTATTTTTTTTTCTTGTAGGTTGGTCATTTGCTGATGTGCTGCCATACTATATGAAAAGTGAAGGAGCAAACCTCACATCAAAAATAGAATGGCAATACCATAATAGAGATGGTCCACTAACTGTGGAAAATACTTATCAATCCCTTCTCGTCGACGCAATTTTATCAGGCAAGTATTGGAATATACAGTGCAAAATATTCGACTACTTTGCGATTATGAATTTAATGTCGGGGTTTTCTATATACAAGACAAGGTATTATAGAGAAGGACATGGTAAATTCACAATTAGACTGATTTTCCGATCACATACCTCTATATTCAACTCTTGTATGTTTTCCTGTGTTTTATCGAATAATAATTCAGTTTGTGATAATTATTTATTTATTATTCAACATTTTGTTCAATTACTGGAGAACTAAGGAAGATATCGAGACATATGAGGAACAAATAGTTAATAAGAGTAATTTGGTATTAGTTTTCATACACCAGTGGCTTCCGAATAAAAAATCATAAGGATTTAATATAAGATTGTTTTCAAAAAATAATACTCAATATTAAAATAATACTCAATATTGAAATTATACCTATTACTACTGAATATTGTTATCAATAATACTAAATACTGAGAGCGATAGTCCTCATTTCAGTGGAATTAAAAACTGAAAAAATCTTCAAACTTTGATGCCTTGTAGATTTATAGCCAAAGTCTTTAGACAATAGGAAAACATGTGCATTAAAATTTCTCTTTTCTTATCGATTCTAAAATAAGTTAGACCAGTTAAACATAGTGTTACTGATATTTCAAATTGTCATCAAAATCGATACATTTCTGGTGCTGAAATTGTGATATATTTCTTAATTTTTCAAATCCATAATATAATATACAGGATGTCCCTAAAAGGTCTATACAAACTTACCACATATTCCTCAGACCAAAACAAATCGATACAGCAAACTCACCTAAGTACAATTATGTACAAAGTTGCTAAAGTTAGAATTTTCAAATTGATTTCGCTTTATAACTTTAAATCGGCTTGTGAGATTTCACACAAATTTGGTACGTTGGCATAGCTTTATTCGGCAATAAAACCCATATCATAATTATGATGACTATCGTGAATAAACCTAAAGCTTCTACGTCAATGGAAATAAACGGGTTTGGATTTGAAATTCGAATTGCGTTACTCGTTTACTACAAAAAATATCCTCCTGATGAAATTCGTTTACTCTCATGGTTTCGACAATATTTGAATTTTAGTAATTCAATAAAGCATCAGTCAACACCAAAACGATTGACAGATATTTCATGAAAATTGTTCAAAATTTTCATTATTTCCAGATACATGAACGAAATACGTACGTATACGATGGTAAAAATTGAAAAGTGCTATCAGCTATTTTTTGTTGTTTTTTTTGTACTGTGTACGCCATCAGAGCCGCCTGGCGCCTACTGAGGTGATTGTGCTTGTATCCATATTTTTCGTCGAATAAATCTTTTTATACGTGGAAATTATGAACATTTTTATGAAACCTCTCTTAACCGTTTCGGTGTTGACTGATGCTTTGAATTACTAAAATTTAAATTTTGTCAAAACCAAGAGAGCAATCGATATATCAAGAGTAACATTTTTGTAGTAAACAACCTACGCGATCCAAATTTACCAACGTACAAACTTTGTACTGACGTTAGTTTGTTTGTATTGAATTGTTTTGGTCCGAGGAATATGTAGCAAGTTTCTGAAAAGATCTTTCAGGGACACCCTGTATACCAGAAAATCGGCTAAATTTTCGTAGTCGTTTGACATAACCCCATCATACCCTGTATTGTTGGATTCATTTTTGAAATCTCTTACTGATTGTGAAATGAAATACAATATGTCCCATTTTAAAAATCAACTAGTACTCTGTAGATCGTTTGTTCCGAGCATCCTGTATTTTCTGATGAAGCGGAAAAACAATTATGAGAAATAATTTCAAATGATTTTTCAAATTATGAAATCTGCTCAAAAATAACTGCGCTAGGGAGGAGGGATTTTTATAATGAATCACCCTGTACTTTGGCTGGTCGATCAAACTCAGATCTGCATAACGATTACAGTGAAACTATCTTCTAATCTTTTATAGGTGGCGAAGAAATCGGGTTGCCTTACATTGACTACAATGCGCCAGTAGAGCCTTTCGGATTCTCGCCGGTGCAGTCCACAACTCAAAATGGAAGGAGGTTCAGTACCGCTAGGGCTTACCTAGCTCCCGTCGCTCACAGACCGAATCTGGACATCATAACCGATGCTTTCGTCACCAATATCATGATTGACCCGGTTGACAAGAGGGCTTACGGGGTTCAATACCAAAAAGCAGGGAATACCTATACAGTATATGCTAGGAAAGAGGTCATACTCTCTGCAGGTGAGTGCACTGGTGATCATAGGCGCCGGAACTTCAAAATACCAAGGGGGACAGAATACATTCAGAATATATATATTTATATATAATATATAGATGCATATCAAAATATAATTAAATTGAGGTACAGTAACATACAGATTTATTTTTTGAAGACTACTGTCAACAGTCTCAACTTTTTCAAATATATCTATCAACATATTCAGTAAAAATAAGAACTCGAAATTCCGTGTAGTTTAACCAAAAAACGATAGCTTTCGCTCCAACATCAGAGTTTGCATTACTCGCTCCCTCCATGACCTTCAAAATGATGTTCAGTGAAATAACTCTCATGCACCACCTAGGGGACAAAATGAACTCAAAGTAGCAGATTTTGATTCAAAATTTATTTGTATATCTTTAAAAATCTCCAACCTCTTTGTTGAATTTTTTACAAAATTCAGCATATCTCTTGCTAATGCCAGAAAGTCTCTCACTGGGAATTTTCGTGAAGGAGTCCTGATCCACTGAATTGAGAGTATGTGCTAAGTAATGAACATACAGTGCTCGTGTTTCATCAATGGTGATCCTTTTTTTGGAGGCCTATAAGACATCCACTCACATTTGCGGCTCCATCGTAGCATTGTCCTCTGCATTCGTTAATATCAACCTGATATCGTATCAGTATGTCATTAACAATTTTATATAATGTTGCAGCATCAGTGAATGCTGTTTCATAGAGTCCCAAAAAATATTAATGTATTTCCATTGTATCGTCTACTACTCTGAAGCAAATAGACAATTGCTCCTTGGTGAATACTGTAGCACGCCCACCCTAAATCATTGTTCAAAGTATAAATATTACATTGATGTATCATTTTCCGTTACATTTGAATTGTGCCGCGTCGCGTGTGATACCCTGATTGGTGCGCCGGATTTGACTTTATTCGCAAGAGGGAAGGGAGGGAAGCGAGGATTCGCTTGAAAAAGGTTTGAGAGAGATAGGGGACGGCCGCGGAGAGGTCGGGAATTTGGGACTGTGAGTTTGCCAGGGTTTTGGTGAACGAGTTGCTTGGAATCCTTGGTTAAAGTGCCGCTGTGGACGAGCAAGTCGTCATCACTAGTTACCAACTATGGACAGTCGGTGAGAAGCACGATACATTCATTGTATCAGGGGTGAGAAGTATAATTTAAGAATTGAAGCGAGCTGTTTTCCTTTGCCGATTGCCAAGAAGAGCCATCGCGCAGTCGCGTGACTTCAGTAGCTGATGTTGTTGCTGTACCGATTGTTTTCATTTTTAAACAATCAACCCTCGTTATCTTTCGTACTCTGCGTTCCTAGACTATTATAATCGTGTAACCTGGTACTCATTGGTGATATTCGTGACATTAAACATTTTTCGTTTACTATTATACGGTTTGCAAATTTAATCTTGTTTTCTTCCGCAAGTCTGTCCCCCCTTGAGAACCTTGAGAGTCTCGTATTTAAATAATGTTCAGGACTGAGCTGGTCGACTACAATACGTAGGTAGTTTCATCTGATATTATTGCCACGAGTGGCTCTAACGCCCACTATCGCAACTCGAACTTACTCGCTTGCAAGAGGTTTTTTTGAAAATGATAAGTAAATAATCAAACTTCACTTCACGAGTTTATTCATTTTGAATAAAAACAATTAGGGCATGAAATAAATTGACCATTAATTATCCAGCAAGATACATTCAACTCAAATCGAAACCAAACAGAAAAAAAAAACTAGTAATACTCAAAAATGGTACTTACAGAAGGGCTCGCTTTTCATTGGAGGATTGGAACTGCCACTCACGATGCAAATAAGTTTGAGATTTACTTCTATTAGAAGATTTGAAAAGACTTTACGGTCCACTGGCCGAACCACAACTGCCGGTTTTTTCTCTAATACTTTTTCATCTTGGTTTTGGTAGTGGTAATTGATTCAGCATAAAAACTAGGTAGTGTATTCACCTCGATTAGGAAAAATCCAAAACCAGCAGTTTCTGCCCGTCAGCGACTTTACTTGAATAACAATAAAATTGAAATCCGAGCAATAATTTCCTTTGAATATCGTAATTCTCTACTGATCATCCTTTAAGCTGAATAGTCTAGTGATAAGAGTATAGGTACGGCAAATTGAGTTTGTTGCCGACTACCTAGCCAGCAGTTTCTGGCATTCTGATTATCACCAGTCGGCGAAGTTAGCGTCGAAGTATTGCGAAATAGTGGTGTTTTGCCGTCTTTTGTCCCTTGCCAATTAACGTAAATGAAACTTAATTACCTATTTCATAGAAACTGAGAACAGTGGTAATATTACGGGTTTCGGGCGAACTTGATCAGTGGGTTTTTTTTACGTTACTCATGATCATTGTATTTCTTGCTTGTTCATGTATGTCTGTATTTTCATTGAAATTATATTGTATGTCTTGTGTACACCTTACCTGCTGCAAGTTTGAGAGAATACGCTGAGCTAGCGTAGGTAAGTTACAAAATGCATCATAAAATATCGCGTCTTTTGTTAACAACGGTAATTTTCAATAATAATAAGTCGCAAAATACTCTAGAAACGTCCTCTCTATAATCTAACCATTTATATTCGTTTTTCCAGACATTTCTGAAGCTTTGTTTTTTGGTTTCGTCTTTACCACTTTAATTTACTAACATCAACATCCCTTACACTAACCCTTTGAGGTTGAGCAGAATTTTGAAAGTGAGCCGAGCTTCAACTATTGTTTTCAGTGTTTTCACGGATGACAGCTTCAGACTTCTCATCATTTTGTTCAGTCTTTTTTTTTGCAAATAACAAATTTGTCCATTATAATTATATTAGTAGGTAGGTATTCGCGAGAATCAATGTTACCAGGTGGCGCTCGGTTTTCATCGTTCCATGTCAAAGCCACGTCAAAACTGGGGGAAAACAATCTCAATCCTCACTCAATCCCATTAGTGCCATTAGCTTGTGTACTGTGTACTGAACGCCAATAATGCCTGTTGTAGATGTTCTTTTGGCAGATATTTTGCTCTATTTAGATGGACAAAGCCGACCAGTAGTGAAAGGAGATGCAGTTCTCCGTGCTAATCATGTGATTTTGTGTGAGGCAGAAGACTTCAACAAAAGGCACATTTTTGCACTTTGTCTACAAACTTCGGCGATGAAATCTTCCCCACATGAAGTAAAATTGAAGTTGGGGTCCAAAGGAACTCCTGTAGAACAATGGATTTGTATTTGTTCATGCAAAGCAGGACAGTCTGGGTATTGTAAACATTGTAGCTGTTCTTTTATATGTCAATTGATTCGCTCGTCATAATTAGTTTCAATTGTTTGAACTATCTCCAATTCTTCACCCGTTCACTGTTCACTAAACTAATAAAAATGTAATAATGTAAAAAAATTAACCAACTCAACCATCATCACTACCAACAGTGCCAACACTTTATGTCATTGACAAGTTTGACTACAGCTACAGCAAGCTGAATGCAATTTAGTCTATGCACTTTATCCATAGACAACAGTCTGTCTTCCCCCAGTTTGAAGTTCGTATCATGTAACCTAGATGTCGCCCACTTCGTGAATCAATAGTAGGATTTGAAAGATTTATTCAATTGAAAAAATATTCATTGTAGAATTTCAGAGTAATGTAACATTGACTTCGCAAGGGGGCGACCAATTTTTATGCGCTTGCAAATTCGTATCAAGGAGGATGAGTTTTTCGAGCACTTTCCAAGTATCGCAACCGCGAACTACAAACTTTAAATGCGCACAGTCAGATACTTGGAAAGTGCTCGAAAAACATCCTCCTTGATACGGATTGGCAAGCGGATATACGTTGGTGGCTGAGCGCTCCCATCAACGGGGAATTGAAATTTGCTGTAGCACTTGTAAGTCAATAATTTAATCGCCTGTAATGTGTATTACGGCCGGCTGGTGACCGCCTGGACATCTATCGACGCCTGGAAGGCATTACATTTCGATAGTTGGCTGTCAGTTCTCAAGGAAATCGGTGTTTTCTGTATTCACTCTATCCTTAGGGACCTGAATTAGTTTTTGCAATACTTCTCACGCGTGTTTGATATAAATAATGTGTCTACGCGTTGTTCGAAGTTGTTGAATTTCAGTGATCTATTCCAACGTGCTGGCATTGTCGCCATACGCCATACGCCATAACAAAACATCATGTAAATTTTAGCTAAGCTAGAGACTTGGCAATGCTGTGCTAAACGGTGAGAACTGGCAAGACAACGCCCACAATCCTGTGTTGTCACGTTTACCGGACGAATTCTCCTCTAGTGTGGATTAAAATAGTTCATCATATGCAATAAGACACAACATATAGGAGGAAAAATTACAAGACAATTGATTTTTCAGAGCTTATTAGGAATATAACCAATACATAATTGAGAATTAATAAATCACTGCGAAAATCATGACGTCAGTTTTTATTAGTGATAAATTTTTAGCCGCATGATAATCACCGTGGCAATATGATATTAACACCTTACAATCGACCGAAAAAATCTAAACAAATATGAAATTGAAAGATAATTGAGTAATGATTCTATTTAAGAAATAAAAAATCGTCCACTCGCCTATTGGTGACGCTAAAATTACAAGCGCGCCTCTCGTGGCGCGATTTGGAAGTTGTCGCAGTACGAAACTTCAAGTTTTATAACATGAGGGCAGTGAACAAAGGTTGCATCCATTGAGAAAACTGACTAATATTACATTACGTTGCTTCGTTGACAGCCGGAAACTATATTTTTCAGGTTATTGGGTTGCTTCAATTCTGCCACTACCCAGTAAACACATTCACGTAGAAATATCGGATTGAAATTACCATATTAATCTGTTGACAAATCACAAATTATTTTTTTTAAATAGGACACTCTGTTTTTCATATTTTCTCCGGAATCTGTGAATTTTTGTGATCACAAAAGGATCAATATCGATTGTCTATAGGTCTAATATGGTGTATCCCTCAAAATATAAGATTTACAGGAGAGGGTAAAATCTGTTTTATCTGGATGCGGTTGATATTTTACCATTTTGGCGCTCATAGCTGTGTGATGATGGTTGACACTGTTCAATACTAATATCTACAAATAAAATCAAATGTATGTTGGTCCAGTGTTGTATACAACCAATTATTATTTCTTAAAGATGTTAAATAACGACTCACTTTGCTCAAAAAGTTGGATACGTCCTAATCACTTGATACAAATTATTCAAGATGAGATACATTGTATTGATTTTTTTTTTGATAGTGATGAAAAAAATTCTTAAAGTTGAAAAATTTCGATTTTTCATACTCTATATCTTTGTTATCATTCCCGCTAGACCCCAAGTGTGATAGATTGATGGAATCAGCTCTCTAGGGAAAATCTGATAATCGAATGATATACAGGTAACGTCGCAATACTGAGAATATTTTACGTTGATAGAACACAACTAATTTTCCAAGGCACCAACTTTTCAGAATAATCCTGAGTTCCTGAGTGTTCTTCAGAAACGTCTAATGTGCCATCCACCATCCACCGTGAATCACCCTGTATATTTTGTCTTCTATACCTCAGTTATCATAGGGTGCATACCAGGAAAATAATTTCTATTATACAGGGTGTCCCAAAAAAGTAAGACGTATAATGATATATATTTTTTAAATGGCATGCCATATATGTTCTTGAGTGCATCCAGTGGTTACCTACATACTCCTGGAATTCAATTGAAATCGGTTCAGTGATATTCGCGTAAAAAATATATTCAACAAAAAATTCAATTCAGCACCACTGGTCAAAAACATATTTTTTTCTTATCTCAAATTGGAGCCCCTGTATGACATTCGATGCGTGAATAAAAAACACACTTTTTACTTATTATTATTATTCTCATCGTATCAAGATTTATTAGCCGAAAAATCGTTTCATCAACTATTCTGATAGTAATTTGAATGAATAAAGAAAAGGGTGGCTTTGAGAAGTAAATTATCGACATTTAACTCTAATGAAGTGTCAGGAGTCTATTTGGGCTTGAGTAGTTCAAATTCAATACATTGTTAGCTCATTATTATACATTTTTTGAGCTGTTGATAACGAAATATTTTTTATCATGGAGCACAACCAAGAAGAGTTCGTAGATATGATTTTAATAATAGGAGAATGTAAGAAGAACTCGTTTTTGGCAAGTCGAGTTTATGCACAACGTTATTCGCAACGACGTCATCTAGAGTCATTGGATGTTATTAGTTTGATAAAAGTTCGGACACAGAAATGACAACGGTTAGGGTTTTTGAATGTTTAGATTTATGAAGTTTCACACCTTGCATTGTGACAAGAGCACCATAGTCGTCCCGCGTTTTTTCATTCAAAATTGTTTGAATTTGACAATACATTTTATAAACGTCAGAATTGAAATAAAATTTCATAATTATACATTCGAGATGAAACCAGCTATGGAAATTACTTGCTGTGTAATAAATTGTGCCAATTCTGAAGAAAATGGATATCATTTATTCAATTTTCCGAAACAAATATCAACCATTCGCTTATGGAAGGAAGATATGAAATGGCCTGATGGGTGCAAAATCAATTTGAAGACGAACGAAATTTGTGTTACTCATTAAAATTCACTTTTTATAACAGCATCTGATTAGAATGAAACTATATTTTAGGCCCATCTTCAAACAGAAGATTTCAAAATCTGTTTGTGAGAATCTGCTGTTCCATCAATTTACAAAGCAAGCGATTTCGAGAACAAAATTCCCTTATTATCGTCATACAAAAAACAAAACGAAATGATCATGGAAAAGAGGGAATGATCGCAAAATTACATAATGAAATTGAGAATATGAAAACGAAACTAAGAAAAGCAAGTAAACTACATCAGAGTGATATATTATTGAATGGCGTTTTTGGTGCCGACCAAATTTAGAATTCAACAGTGGAAAGTGAATAGTTATTTATGTATCAAGGGATTTATTATAAGGGCCTTAATTACGCTGGAGGTTAATGTTTTGGAGATATTTTCTATATCGATCCATCTTACTTATTAGCTCCTAGGGCGCTAAGTGGAGTTGCTGAGAACTTTACAAAACCAAGAATTTGGTAGGTCTCGTCAAAATAAACAACTTTTTTCCTATCAAATGTTTATCGAAAAATGATTTGTTCTCTGTATTCCAGCATTCTGTATCTACGAAATGAAGCATTTCCGGACACAAAAGCTTATATAGACTTTATTTCTTATAATTGTCTCAGGAATACTTCACTTGAAACTGCTTATGTTACTTCCTGTATATTGAGAATATTTACCTTTAATTTAATATAAAAACTTCTTGTTTTATACTCATCACTGGAGTACAGTTTCACATATAATAAGCTTATAGCTTATAGCTCTATAAGTTTATCCATATGTGTATATTTTCTAATATTAAAATGTTGTTACATGCATTCTTTTCATTTGTATAACAGTTGTTCTGCTAGAAGGGTATCACTATAAATTGGAGTGGGTGTTTGAACCCTATACTCATTGTCCATCTACGGCTATGATTGATTTGACAGAAAATATAACCTCTAAAATCGTATCTGACAATCAGGCGCTACTAGGGAAATTGAAAAGACAAAGAGCAGAATATATATCTTATTCTTTTATTCACTTAAACCATTGTATTATAGAAAATAGAAAAGGACAAAAGTTCAGCTGTGTCCGAACTCTTATCAAACTAATACCATCCAGTGACTCTAACGTCATCCAGACAAAAGGATCCTGCAGAACTCATCCAATGGTTTGTACGAACCGGAAATGTAAAATATACAAAACCAGTTAGAGATAAACTTAATTATTTGTTCTTTTATTTCTGTTTTATTCTCTTCTTTTTCCAATAGGTTTCATCCTACTTTTTTTTTTACTTTTTACCATCTTCAAAGGCTTCAGCAGTGCTCTATATAGCGGTGTGAGATAAAGAGATGAATACGACGATGCCTACTGGAAAAGCCGATCAATGAAAATTCTGTTTTCAGGTGCCATCAATTCTCCACAGCTACTGATGCTTTCCGGGATCGGGCCGAAGAAGCATTTGGCAGATGTGGGCATACCCTGCATAAAGGATCTACCGGTAGGGCAACACCTCATCGACCACCTGGCTTTTTACGGGCTGAATTTCCTGATATACTTCGACTGGGACCAAGTCGATATAAGATACGCCTTGAGCATTCCGGAGTTCGTCAAATTTTCGAAAGGTCCCTTTACTACTCTGGGAGGAGTGGAGGCGGTGGGATTTTTCAAGACGGAGGTGGCGAAGTACAAGGAGAACATTCCCGATGTTGAGGTGCAGTTCATGAGAGGGAGTATCGGCAGTGATCACGGAGTTTGGATGAAACGTGGTAAGTAATAGTCCAAGAGCCGGCTGCACATTTCCACCGTCATCTGATCACGAAATGATACATGTTTCAAAGGCATGTAATACATATTTATTATACGCCCTGATGCTGCTATTATTATCAAGTGCACAATAGTTTAGCTAATCTGCTGTAGTACATTAAAAAAACATTCAATGTGGATCTAGTCATGCTATCCCGACAATTCGGGCAATTCTGTTGATCCTAGAACTCTTACTTATACAGTGTGTCCCACTTACCATGCTCACCATGCATGGGTATCTTTTTAACGGTGAGAGATACGAGGTCGGTTGAATGACACCAAATGTGGAGTTTGTCAAGGCCAACTATAATGTGAAAAAATATTTTGATAAAATCTATTCGTTTTTGTTTTATAAGCAAAAAACAGATTTTGATCATTTCCTTGTCTCCTCCGTAACTTCTTTATTTAGGAAAATATTCGAATAGGAATTTCACATTCTCATGGTAGTTTTTCAAAGTGATTTCGAAAAAAATATGAAATTTATACCAACTCTTCTAGAATTTGAGATATCAGCACCAACTTTAGTTTTTCAAATGTAGGTCATAGCTCACTATGACTTAGTTACAAATAACTTTTTTTTCTCTTACAGATGATATGTCGCAGAAATAGTTTTGTGTTGATAACAACGGAGTCATCGTCATTTATACAAAAACAAAAAATTATTCGGAAGCCGCCATCTTGAATTTATGAATTTTAACAAAAAAATTATGATCTCTGACCTCGAAAACCCCCACTTACCATTTTTTTTTAATTTCAACAAAAATTCCATAAGTCCGATTAACTTAACATTTGGCAGGTGTTCATAATTCCGGTGACAATACATTATGAAATTTTTGTTGAAATAAAAAAAATGGCTGCTCCAAGATGGCGGACAAGATTTGGTCCGATTCCATTCAGAATTGGTAAGTGGGAGTTTTTGAGGTCGGAGATCATGATTTTTCTGTTTAAATTCATTAATTCAAGATGGCGGCTTCCAAATGATTCTTTGTTTTTGTATAAATGACAACAACTACGTTGTTATCAACACAAAGCTATTACTGCGTTATATCATCTGTAAGAGAAAAAAATTTATTTGTAACTAAGTCATAGTGAGCTATGACCTACATTTGAAAAACTAAAGTTGGTGCTGTAATCTCAAATTCTAGAAGAGTTGGTATAAATTTCATATTTTTTTCGAGATCACTTTGAAAAACTGCCATGAGAATGTGAAATTCCTATTTGAATATTTTCATAAATAAAGAAGTTAGGGAGGAGACAAGAAAATGATCAAAATCTGTTTTTTGCGTATAAAACAAAAACGAATAGATTTTATCAAAATATTTTTTCACATTATAGTTGGCCTTGACAAACCCCACACTTGGTGTCATTTAACCCATTAGTGCATGAAGTTACTTTTTTTCAAATCTCTATATTCTGAAGATGTTTACTCATTCAAATATACCCAAAGAATGATAACTCATGACGAATAATTTTTTTTTACAACACATTTTTTTTGTATGACACGTCCATTTAAATGGACTCTATGCAAATTGGTTCATTGATAAAAGTGATCAGTAGGAAATTTCAGTATTAATTTTTATTCAAGTACATATCCAGAACATGAAAAACTCAATAACATCAATCACAATATTATCAATAATAATAATAATGATAATAATAATGGAAATTATACATCATGATGACTTGATACATTTTGAAGCATCTCTCAGATGCAGTCCTATTTTACATATAAAATTGCAATTTTGTATACTCTACTGAATGGAATTCAGCTGATGGGTATATGGAAATGCATCATATCAAGAAATTATTTGAGATGATACTTCCAGACCTTTTTTCGGTGCTCCTCACACGATCCAGTGGAAGGTAATGTGAACCCGTTGAAGAAAAAGAGGAGTCGAACGAGTGGATGGAGTCGTGTCTATAGTTGACGTGCTGCAGTATAACGTACAATCATTTGATGCTATAATATTCCTTTTCATAATGCAAAGATGTATATTATTTTCAATTTCATCAAATCAGGATCAGAATAACGAAAGTCGCACGGCTGTTTGATAATTCCTTTAGAAATATGATTTATCATGGATTCGCAGTTTCAAAATTCGAATAACTGCATTTCTGCCAACTTTTCTTCTGGAGGCAATATAATATATGATTATCTGTTGATTGATCGATATCTGAGCCATTTTCCATATGTCTAAGAGGTGTTGCAAGAATGATCTACAAAAAAATCTTGATGACCGATATGCATAGAGTCCATTATAATGGACACAACACAAAAGCAATATTTTGAGTGTCTTGCAAAAAAAAAATTATTCGAATTACCTTATAGGTTCATAAACACATGCATGTAATGAGATCTTGAGGGATATGAAATTCTGAAATTCATTATACTGCGTTATAATAAATACTTACCCTCCTTGTCGGGTGCAATACAAATTGTTATCCATTTGATCACGTGCAGAATATTGTCGAGATACAAATTCATGAAATAGAAGCGATAGCTGTTTGTTTTTGAACTACACTTATAGTTCTGGCGCATGAAACATTCAATTCCTGCATGATTGAGGTCACAAAAAATTAGACAAGGAGCGTCCATTATAAGACACATTATGCACTAATGGGTTAACCGACCTCGTATCTCTCACCGTTAAAAAGATACCCATGGTGAGCATGGTAAGTGGGACACACTGTATAAGATCTAGTTGATTGAATTTCCTTAGATATTACCTACCACGCAATACATCAAATTATATCAGTCCAACATCCAAGATGAGAATCTTCTAAAGATATACGTTAATTTCAGCACTCAGGATATCAGACGAAGTGTATAAATCAGCCATCGAACCCATCGAAAACCTTCCTTGTTGGTGTGCAGCTCCAGTGCTGCTATTACCCAAATCCGAGGGCGAAGTAAAACTGCTCTCGGCCGATCCATTCGACCACCCTAGAATCATCCCCAAGTACTTTACCGACGAATATAACGAGGACATCAAGACAATGGTAGCCGGCATAAGGGTGCTAGAGAGACTAGTCAACACCACCGCGTTTAGGACCAACGGTGCCAAAATCAGCGAATACCCCATAGCAGGTTGCGAACATTTCGAATTCGACAGCTTCGAGTACTGGGAATGCGCGCTGAGGGCCATTTCGCACACCCTGTACCATCCGATGGGGACTTGCAGGATGGGGCCGCCCCACGATCCGAGCGCTGTGGTCAATAACCAGCTGCAGGTGAATGGAATCGCGGGTTTGAGGGTCGTGGACGTCAGCATCATTCCGATGTTCTCGGCACATACGAATGCGCCGGCAGTGATGATTGCGGAAAAGGCTTCCGACATGATTAAACGGTTCCACGGGAGACTGAACTAATAAAGAATATTGCAGCAGTTGATTTGTTTCAATTCGAACCCTTTATATCTGCGGCGCTTTTCGGACAGGGACTATTGGTAGCTGTTCGGATATCTCGGGCGCCAGATTTTTTATGAAGGTGATTTACTTTACCTACTCTTACAAACTGAGTTTCTGAGGAAACTTACATGTCGGACACAAAAATCACTATACAATACGTTGGAATTAAAAACAAAAAAAAAGTGGTCGGAGTAAGAGATATGAAATTCCCAGGCGAACACCAAAAATAAAGCAGTAAGAGCGATCGGCAAGAGAGAGAATCTGATAGAGCAGTGTGAGAGCTTTCCGCTGCCTGTCGTGTATTAATACCCCACTGCAACCTTGCTGAAAGGGCAGCTAAATCCTGGATTCTGATTGGTCGGAATCCTCAACTATGCCTGCGGGATAAAGCCTCAAAAGCACATGTGCTTTAACTTACAAAGATGCAAAAAACCACCCCTCAACTCTAAATTTGCACAGGAAATAGTATATTTCCTTTGCTCATGCTACTGAATGATTTTAACTGGAAAAGAGTCACTAACAAAAAAGTTATAAGCAGCTAAACATCTAAACATTACATCATAGCCAATGGGATGAAATATGCTGAAGTTTTTAGGGTTGGAGTTTACTGTCAGGAAAAAGTTTGGGAAGTCAGGAATTAATGAATTGTTATATCTCCCAGGTTTTCTGGTTTCGAACTTCCGAACAAATAAAATTCAACTAGAATCACCATGTACCATCCGATGGGGACTTGCAGGATGGGGCCGCCCCACGATCCGAGCGCTGTGGTCAATAACCAGCTGCAGGTGAATGGAATCGCTGGTTTGAGGGTCGTGGACGTCAGCATCATTCCGATGTTCTCGGCACATACGAATGCGCCGGCAGTGATGATTGCGGAAAAGGCTTCCGACATGATTAAACGATTCCACGGGAGACTGAACTAATAAAGAATATTGCAGCAGTTGATTTGTTTTAATCCGAACCCTTTATATCTGCGGCCCTTGCTGTTCTGATATCTCGGGCGCCACATTTTTTATGAAGGTGATTTACTTTACCTATTCCTCAAACTGAGTTTCTGAGGAGGCATGGGAAGCAACAGTGAAGGGAGGCACATGATGTGCCTACTTCGGTGCCTACAGTAAACCAGGAGTCAATGTTATTGATCTGATCTGGTTCAGGGCCATTTGTAAGCAAGCGGTCCCGGACTCAAGCGCAAAAAGACTGGAGGTAATTCCTATTCATTTTCCCTTATCATTTGATTCATCTTATTTCCGCAACAGTAATTTTTGAGGTTAATTGTTATCTTCTTTAAATGTCAAATTCTCGAATACCAGACACAGCATACGGAGCACAAGCGCACCGGTGCACAGGACCGGATTGATCAAGAAAAAAAGAAGAAATAACAACTAGCTATCAAGGTTAATCATATACTAACTCAGCAATTCGACATTAAATCATTGAAAACAATGGATACAAAAAAGAAATATGCCATCACAAGAAACGTTTATTCCAAAATGCAAATAATACCGGGGGATTTCTGGGCTCTTTATGCAGGTCGGATAAATATCGGATATGAAAAAACCACAGGAATGAAATCATTCTATATGCAAGATGTATAAATCGTGCCACTTATTATTGAGCAAATGGAAACTTTGAACGCGAATATCTGCGTAGTCGTTTGAATTAACCCTATCAAACCCGCTATCGTTGAATTCGTCATAATAATCCCTAACCGATTATGGAATGGAATACAGGGTGTGCCATTGAAAAATCGAAAGTTAAAGTCGTTTCTGGTGAGACTGGAAGTGATTGAACCAAAATTGTTTTGTCAATTAAAGAACAATTTGGTATACTTGCTACCCACCAATTTTCGAAATCCGATCTAGAATGATTCAGAAGATACAGCACTGGCCGTTTTTTGTGCACTTCTCTGTATACACAAAAACTAACATATCGGACACAAAAATGACTATACAATACACTGGAATTAAACCAAAGAGCGCTGTAGGAATAAGATATAATATGAGATTCACAGGAGAACACCAAAAATGAAGCAGCCAGAGCGATCGGCAAGGGAGAGAATCTGAGGGAGCAGAGCTTTCCTCAGCCCGTCGTTGTGTATTACTACCCCACAGCAACTTTCCTAGAAGGGCAGCTAAATCCTGGATTCTGATTGGTCGGAATCCTCAACTATGTCTGCGAGATAAAGCTTGAAAAGCACATGTGCTCAAACTGAATAAAAATATATTTCCTTTGCTCATGCTACTAAATAAATTTAACTGGGAAAGAGTCACTAACAAAAAAGTTATGAGCAGGAAAACGTCCATATTTTCAACAGATAGGTAATTCATCTGAGCATATTACATCATAAGCAAAGGGATAAAAAATGTTGAAGTATTTAGTAATGATGTCTGTTGGAGTTCACGGTCAGGAAAAAGTTTGGGAAGTCAGGAATAAATGAACTCTGTTATATCTCAAGTTTCGAACGACTGAAATTCAACTAGAATCACCCTGCAAGATGGAGCCGCTCTACGATCCGACCGCTGTGGTCAATACAGAGCTGCAGGTGAACGAAATCGCTGGTTTGAGGGTCGTGGACGTCAGCATCATTCCGATGTTCTCGGCACATATGAATGCGCATGCAGTGATGATCGCTGAAAAGGCTTCCGACATGATTAAACGGTTCCACGGGAGACTGAACTAATAAAGAACAAATAAATGTAAAAAGCTCAAAGTCATTTCCACACAGTGTTCATAAAATGAACAACAATGGTAGATTTCGGGAGTAAAACAACTACTTCCCTGGCTAATGCCACGCAGGATATTGAATTACATCCTCCTGAAATCTATGCATCGACTCGTTTAAACGAATACTGATACAAGTGATTCTTTCCTATTCGTTTAAACGAGTCGATGCATAGATTTCAGGAGGATGTAATTCAATATCCTGCGTGGTATTAGCCAGGGAAGTAGTTGTTTTTCTCCCGAAATCTACCATTGTTGTTCATTTTATGAACACTGTGTGGAAATGACTTTGAGCTTTTTACATTTATTCATCATTTCATTCCACTGTGAGCATTGTGGCTATTTCGTAGTTGTAATAAAGAATATGCAGCAGTTGATTTGTTTCATCAGGAAATACAAATGATAAACCTAGTCTCAAAGACGTTCGTGAATTCACTGTCAGCAGTATCGACTTGCCAAGACCATCAGTTTCTGTAGGCCAGCTGTCAGTAGATTCCCGAACGATATTTCAATATATGCAAAGCTTGAGAGCCATCTGGTGACAAAGGTGTAAGGTGTACTAATTTTATGAACTCGAAATCTCGAGGTGGTTTGATGATGATAATCAAGGGATATTATCATCATATCCGATAGTCAAGCAGCCATTGAAGTGCTGAGATTTATGGTTGACATCACTAAAATGGTTTGGAAATGCCAAGAAGACGTGAACGAGCTGGTCAACAGAGTAATATTTGTGATCAATAATATGGAGCCTTGGGAATATATTTATTAGTTAACATTCAGCATAACTTATGACAAGTTCCTAATCATGTCACTGACTGATGTCATCCAACCTCGCCGCCTATATCCCTGTATACATACAGGGCGTATACTGCTTATGAATACATTACACGTTCCAACTTTTCAAAAGAAAAACAATAAAAAGAAAATAGCTGATTTCAATAATACAAAATCAATAAATTTTAACTGAATCTGTTTGGAGGTTTCAACACACGACCATATCTGGTAGTGTGTTGGAGCGGAACTGGAACTTGACCAGCACTTGATGAAGTTGACAATGGATCTCTGGACCTTGGTAGATAACATGATGTTTGATACTGATTATCGGGATCAGCTGTTCGTCTAGAGGAAAACCGCTCTGAAGTCTGACCTTCTGGAGATGGAGGTCTAGCTATGTTAACTGGGACCTCTTGAGAAATATCAATTTGCGGCGGGAAGTAAACTTGAGGAATCGCTTGCAGAGGAGTCGCTTGATTTATATTCGTCATGTTTTCTTCTTCTTGTATAGATCTAGATGAAGATTTTGATGGGAGACTAGGTTTCCAAGTGGTAGGTAGACCAGGTAGACGTGGTAGACTGAAAGATTTCACTGTTACAGATGAGGTTTCAGGTTTTTGCGTAGTAGCTAATGGTCGCATTCGTCTCAGTTGTTGTCTGTTTCTTCTATAATCAGTGTTATTAACTCGAACAATATAATCATTGGGGCCACTCTTGCTGATAATGAATCCAGGATTCCACTGTCGACATTTCTCTTGAATCAAAACTTGTTCACCTGGTGTAAGATCCGTTAATTTTTTAGTATGGATGTCATAATGTTCTTTCTGTTTGGATTGGTTCGATCTGAGAATATCTCTTACTCCTCTCGTAGGAAATGTTGGCCTCAGGGTCTCTACATTTACTGGGAGAGTGGTACGCAGTCTTCTTCCCATGAGTAACATACTCGGAGCAGGTAAATTCTGTTTGGGAGTAACATTATAATTTAAAATGGCCAAAAATGGATCTTGTTTATCTTGAAATGACTTTGTCAACAAAGCTTTTACAGTTTGAATGGTTCTTTCGACCATACCATTAGATCGGGGGTAATAGGGACTAGAAGTTGTCAACTGAATGCTATAGATTCTACCAAAATGACGAAATTCCAGGGAACTGAATGGTGGTCCATTGTCCGAGAATATTTCCGAGGGTATTCCGTTGATCAAAAATATGTTTTTTAGTGTTGATATCACAACATCAGCAGTTTTACTTGTCAGTTTATTTACGACAGTGAATTTACTATAATAATCAACAACAACTAAACAATTCTGTGATCCTAGGGACTTGAAATCAATACCTATTTTCTGCCAAGGTAACTCTGGAATGCTATGAACTGACAAAGGTTCTCTTTGATTACTTCTAGAATACATTTGACAAGTTGGACAACTCAAAACAAGATTTTCAATATCAGATGATAATCCTGGATAGTATATTGTCTCT